ACTTATTAGCTGGTTGACTCTGGCACATCACTTAACCATTATTTATCTCCCTTTCTTCTGTAAAATGGAGATAACAATAGTACCTACCCCTCAAGGTTGCTGTGAGCATCAAATGAGATAATATTTGTAAAGCACTTTGAAAGCCTTAAGCCATTACATAAATGCTAGTAGTAGTAGTAGTAGTAGTAGTAGTAGTAGTAGTAGTAGTATGATAGTAGTAGTAGTAGTAGTAGTAGTAGTAGTAGTAGTAGTAGTGGTGGTGGTGGTAGTAGTTGTAGTAGTAGTGGTAGCAGTGGTAGTGGTAGTTGTGGTAGCAGTGGTAGTAGGAGTAGGAGTAGTTCTGATTTAGATTTGCCATTCATCTTTCATTGACATGAGGATGATGGCTTCTTTCCTGAATACAATTAAAACATAGGTCTCTGAACTTAGATGCCAAATTTTTAGCATCACTTTCCCATCCTGATTTGGTCCACTGAGGAATCAGATTAAGTTCTACATAGAGACACATACACCAATAGGATGCCGCATTTCTGCTCTCCTGGGAGAACGGCAGAGATAAGATCATGCTCCTGGAACTCAGATCCACATGGAGGGGGGTTAGAGGCAGATGCTGCAGGCACAGAAGTCCCTGGTTTGCATGATCCTGCTAATGACCGTTTCTCTTAGCAATGACTCATACTGCTAATGCTGAGGCAAGCAGGAATCACAAGCATCAGGGGCTGCTGATGGCAGAGCTCTATTGGCTCCCCAGTGACAATCATCTGTCTTAGTTACTTGATGACTGTTGCTTCCCATTTCCCTATTATCACCTGCATGTTTAGTCCCCTCAGCTCAGTATCTTGACAACTGGCTCCATTGTTTATGAACGTCTTGGTGCCCCTGTGCCCCTGAGAGGTTGTCTGGACAGTTTGCCTGTGCTAGGTGCACATCATCACTTGAGAGCTTTTACCCTGGCTGGTCATAATCCCAGTCCCCCCTTGCTGATGTGTTAGGAAATGTGGCTGTGTTTTCTGCTGATGGTTAAACATTGACAACTCTATTAAGTTTATGATCTGAGACCTGTGTGGAATCACCAAGTCTTCTTTATGACAAAGCATCTAAAAAGAGCTTCTCAGAATCCTAGGTGATAAGAGCATTACTAATGCACAGCTTTTATCATAGTTTTCCAGTATTCAAAAAACATCAATGACTCCCCATTGGCCAAACCTAAATTCTGCCTGGCATTCAAGGACCTTTACAAATCCAAACCTAAATAATGACACAAATGACTATTCTGGTCAAAGCACCGAAAGAAAAGTTAGGGGAGTTGCAAAGTTTATATAAAATCCATTCCCTACTCTCATGGATCTTATAGCATAATAAGTATATAAGATACCAATCCCAATAAAGAATCATGCACTATTGCATGACCAGTGCAGAAGAAATGTAAATTAAAATATTGATGCTTTGAGGTCCTGGGATGGGGTTGGAGGAGGGTCATTACTGGCTGGAGGATCAGACAGAGCTTCTTCAAAGAGGCAACGTTTGAGGTTTCTCTTCAAGGACAGGTGAAAATTCGCTGGGCTAGGGGAACGGCATTCCAGGTACATAGAATAGTGTGAGTGAGGACATAGAGGCAAGATGGTACAGAATGCACATTGGATGAGTCAGGGCGAGATGTCCAGCTAAGACGGAACATAGGAAAGCCGTTCTTAGTCTGTGGCTCCTGGAGCCTCTGTGACTGACGTCACACCTAGAGATGCAGAGACCAATGAGACGCTGACCTAGCATCTCTCCTCTCCAGAGGAGACTACTGAATGAATACTGTCCCATACATTTGTGCATTGTGATTTTTCAGTTGTATACAGCAATAAGTCTAACAACTAACATTTATATGGTGCTTTGAGGTTTACATATACAATACGTATACATCCTAGTCCAGCTTCACAACAACTTTTGAGGTAGTTGCTATTGTTATTCCCATTTTACAGATAAGTAAACCGAGGCTGAGAGAGGTTAACTAACTTGACCTAGACAAGCTGGTCATTGAGACAGAATTCAAACTCAGGTCTTCCTGATGCTAAGTCTAGTACTCTATTGTGGTTAATAAAATATGAATTCATTTAAAATCATTTCTGAATTCACAGCAGCCTTTTGTCACCGTATATTTTCTCAATCAACAAATACCATTGTCTGACTGACATCTCATGGAGGTTCATGACTTTTTTCTTCTTGATATATAAAAAGGATGCTTATTTTCATACAGGTTGGGAACTACTGTGTGTTGGTGGGAGTAGAATGAAACAAGACTGGAAAGGTGGAGTGATGCTGGATTGTGAAGGGTTTTGAATGCAGGCCAAGAGGATATGAATTTTCATCTGTAGGCAATATGGAGTCTCCTTGAAGGATTTTGAGCAAAAGGATGACATGACCATATCCAAAAGGAAAATAAGCCTGACAAATTGGTGCCACTCCTCTTCTTATCTTGGCCTTATAATTGGGTAATCTTCAAAATAAGACATTTCTTCTTTAAGACATGGTCTTTGGGAAACAAAAGTCCCCTCAGTTTTATCTTTTATGCTGGGTGGGCAGAGTGGAAATGGACTGGTCTAACCATCCCCCTGAAAGAATTCTGAAAGAAGCTACCTTGTTGCACCTGCAGTGAAATGAGGTCAGCCTATTTCTACATGCTAAGAGAAAGGGCTCTGAGGTGGTCCAGTGTGACCCATTGTTATCTGGGTTTCTACTTTCCACATGGCTGCAGCGGAAGCCACCTACATTCCATGGTCCATGACCCACCCAGAGAAGGAGCTGCCAAATGGTTGCTTGGAGGAGTAGACAGAGTCAGGCTGAGCCTTTGAGCTCTGCCATCTAGCCCTCCCAGGGGTGGACATTATCCTGTGGTTTTAATAGCTCTTTTAGTTAAAATATTAGGTTGGAAATGAACTTGTATAAATGAAATGCTTTCTCATCAAGTGAAAATCAGGCCATTCAATTCAGAAAGCCTATAAGTAGTGATGAGCTGTGGAGCTGGAGTTTTTTCATGGGTCTATTTGGAGTTATACCCAGCTATTTCTCGAAAGGATTTAGGGCAGCTTATAAAATCAAGCACGCCATAATATGGGACAGAACTTTTTTTTTCTTTGAGCTGACCTCCAAAGTTTATTTTTTTCTTTAACATTTTTCTTTAAAGTTTTGAGTTCCAAATTCTATCCCTCCTTCTTTCCCTCTCTTCCTCCTTCCCTAAGACGGTAAGCAATCAGATATAGGTTATACGTGTGCAATTATGTAAAACATTTTTATAGTATTCATTTTGTGGGGCAAAACCTCTGAAAATGAGCCAAGGAGTAGGAACTATGTTCAAATACCAAATACTTTTGCTTCTTTCAAACTGTGTGAGCATAGGAAAGTTCTGTAACCAATGCGTATATATTCTTCCCTCCTTTGACCAGTTCAGATGAAAGTGAGATTCAAGTGTTGTTTGTGCCTCTATGCATTCTTCCTTGCTTGTATAGTGTTCCACTTGGACATCCTAATTATATGAGATGGTTTTCCCCACCCTCCCTTTCCCTTTTCACCCCTAGTGTATTCCTTTCTCCCTCCCTTTCTGTTCTTCTTCTTCTTCTTCTTCTTCTTCTTCTTCTTCTTCTTCTTCTTCTTCTTCTTCTTCTTCTTCTTCTTCTTCCTCTTCTTCTTCTTCTCTTCTTCCTCTTCTTCTTCTCTCTTCTTCTCTTCTTCCTTTTCTTCCTCTTCTTCCTCTTCTTCTTCTTCTTCTTCTTCTTCTTCTTCTTCCTCTTCTTCCTCTTCTTCTTCTTCTTCTTCCTCTTCTTCCTCTTCTTCTTCTTCTTCTTCTTCCTCTTCTTCTTCTTCTTCCTCTTCTTCCTCTTCTTCTTCTCTCTTCTTCTTCTTCCTCTTCCTCTTCTTCCTCTTCTTCTTCTTCTTCTTCTCTTCTTCTTCTTCTTCTTCTTCTTCTCATCAAGACATAATAAAACAATTCCCAAGTTGCCTATTTTATTAGACTACCCCTATGATCCCTGGTAATAATAAGGTTCTGAGGGGACAAATGTATTGTCTCTCCATATTAGAATGTAAACAATTCCTTTTTGTTTAGTCTCTTACGATTTCTCACTCATATTACCTTTTTATGTTTTTCTTGATGTTTGTGTTTGCATTTCAAAGTTTCTATGCAGTTTTGGCCTTTTCTTCAGGAATGATGAGAAGTCCTCTTTTTCATTAAAGATCTATTTTTCCCTTGTAGGCTTATATTCATTTTTGCTGAGTAAGTTACTCTTAGTTGTAAGCTTAGATCTTTTGCCTTTTGGACTATTATATTCCAAGCTTTTTGTTTTATTATAGTGATGGCTACTAAATCTGGTATAATCCTGACTGTGGTTCCTTGGTGTTTGAATTGTTTCTTTCTGAGTACTTACAACATTTTTCTTTGGGCTGGAAGCTCTGGATCTTGACTCTAATATTTCTGGGAATTTTGATTTTGGGGTTTCTTTCAGGGGGTGACTGATAAATTCTTTCTATTTTTACTTTGCCCTGTTTCTAAGAGATTTAGGTAATTTTCTTTCGTGAGTTCTTGAAATATGATGTCTAGCTCTTTTTTTTATCTTAGATTTCAGGTAGTCCAACAGTTCTTAAATTATCTCTATTTGATTGGTTTTTCAGATCAATTTTTTGTGTGAGATATCTCACATTGTCTTTTATTTATTCAGTCTTTTAACTGTTTTAATGTTTCTTGCTGTCTCATGGAGTCATTAACTTTTATTTGGCCCATTGTGATTTTCAGGGAGTTTATTTCTTAGGCAAAGTTTTGTATCTTTTGTGCCAAGCTACCATTTGTCTTTCCTATATCTCGCTTCTTTTCTAATTATTTTTTTTAGCATTCTCATTTTATTTACAAAATCATTTTAAATTCTTGCTTCATTCTTCCAAGAATTCTTGTTGAAGTTGTTGTGCCCAAGTTTGTCTTTGATGCTTTGCTCATAGATCTTTCGGAGTCATTCTCTTCTGGGTTTGTGTTTTGAGCATCCCTGCATATTAGTTCCTTATGGTGGGATTCTTTTTTCATTTGCTTGTTCTTCCAGTCACATTTCCTGACTTTGGACTTTGTGTGGAATAGTTGGGGCATGCTTGGTCCTTACTTTTGCTTTTATGAGTAGCTATCATTGCCCTCACACTGTGAAGTAGATGGGACATGTATTATTTCCCCATTTTATAGACAAGGACAGGAAGGCTCGGGGTGGGGTGGAAATGACATCTATTAACACACATGTCAGAGCCAAGACTAGAACTAAGTCTTTACCAGTTCAAAGATCTTTCCCCTAGACCATTCCTTATATCTTGAGGGAATGTCACTCTGATCCACTGGCTGTGGCTTGTGAAAGCCCATCCTATCTCCCTAAACTCTCCATAAGACTCTCCTAGATAAGCCTCAGGGACTGGCTGGGCTTCAGGACTTGGCACATATCTTTTGTCCATATCTGGAGCTTTCTCTTAGCTGTGTCTCGACTGGGGACAGACCCCTGAAGCAGATTCATATGAAGGAGCCATAGCACAGAATCATAAATTCAAAGCTGTAAGGGACCTGAGGGGCCATCTACTTCAATCCTCTCATTTTACAGATAACAAGACAGAGAACCAGAGGAGATTCCCTGATCCCTGGCCATTTCCATGCCCCATTAGCTGCTCTGATCCAGGCACCTTTGGGATAGGACACCCATTAGCAAAATGGAAAACCAGGTAGAATATACAGTTCTCATTGTTTGACAGAGGGAAGCCCACTCTTCCTACCATCCCTGTTTCTATCAAGGATGCTGCCATCTTCCCAGTTACCCCAGGTTTGCTGCCTTGGAGTCATCCTAGACTCTTGTTTCTCTCTTCCCTCTCACATCTAATCTGAAGCCAAGTTTCACTAATTCTATCTCTGCAACATCTCTGTCTCTTCCTCTTTCCTCCTACAGCCATCACAGTTTCAGTCCCTCATCATTCTACTCCTAATCAATTTTCCTACCTCAAGTCTCGTTTCTCTCCAACCCATTCTCCATGTAGCTGCCAAAGTGATATTCCTAAATTTCAGGTCTGACCACCTTACTCCCCTCCTTAAGAAGCTTCAATGGCTTTTCATTACTCCTAGGGATAAAAATACAAATTTTTCTGTTTGGAATTTAAAGTCTTCCATTATCAGCCTATCTTTCTGAAGAAAAATCACACATTAGGGAGGGCATTCTAGGTATGAGGGATGGAGGGGGAAATATATGGAGGCAGGAAATGGGCTATCAGATGAAGAAATTAAAGCCATCTATAGTTATATGAAAAAATGCTCTAAACCACTATTGATTAGAGAAATGCAAATTAAAACAGCTCTGAGGTACCACATCACACCTATCAGATTGGCCAACATGACAAAACAGGAAAATGATAAATGTTGGAGAAGATGTGGCAAAACTGGAACACTAATGCATTGTTGGTAGAGTTGTGAAATGATCCAACCATTTTGGAGAGCAATTTGGAACTACACCCAAAGGGCTTTAAAAATGTGCATACCCTTTGACTGAACAATAGCACTTCTGGTGCTATATCCCAGAAAGATCATATAAATGGGAAAAGGACTTACATGTACAAAATATTCATAGCAGCTCTTTTTGTGGTGGCAAAGAATTGGAAATTGAAAGGATGCCCATCAATTGGGGAATGACTAAACAAGTTGTGGTATATGAATATAATGGAATACTGTTGTACTATAAGAAATAATGAACAGGCTTACTTCAGAAAAACCTAGAAAGACTTGTATGGTCTGATGATGAGTGAAATGAGTAGAACCAGGAGAACGTTATACACAGTAACAAGCCAAGTTGTGCGATGACTAATATTGATAGACTTAACCCTTCTTATAAGGATCCAAGACATCTCCAAAGGCCTCATGATGGAAAATGCCATCCACAAAGAAGAAAGAACGATGGCATTTGAATGCAGATCAAAACATACTATTTGCTATTTTTTTTCTTCTGTTGTGTTTTGTTTCCTCTTTCTGGTGGTTGCTCCTATTGGTTCTAATTCTTACAACATCACTAATGTGAAAATATGTTTAATAGGAATGTATATGTATGGCCTATATCAGATTGCGCGCTGTCTTGGGGACGGAAGTGGGGAGGGAGGGGGGAGAAAAATTTAAAACTCTAAAGCTTATGGAAGTGATTGTTGATAATTCAAAATAAATTATTCAAGAATTTTAAAAAAATTTAAAAAAGGAAATGGGCTAGCAAGTCACTTGACATTTCTGAGCCTCAGTTTCCTCATTTGTAAAATGGGGATAAATAATATGCACTATCTACATCACAAGGTTTGTGGGAGGGAAACACTTAGATTTCTAGGTTCCCTTACAGTTCTGAGACTGTAATCTTTATTTGCCAGAAAGTGCTTTAGGAAAGTGAGTTATTTATTTAATAGGAGGCAAGGGGTAGGGCAAGGTATTGGATAAAGCAGTGAAAGCTGTGTGTTTGGCCAGAGTGGGGATAAGTAAGGTGAGTGGTTAGGAGAGCAGAGGCCATTGGAATACCATTCATTCATTCATTCTGCCCGTAAAGAAAAATTTATCACTGCAGTATAATATAACAAAGGAAATACAAGTAAATAATCTCTAGGAAGCTCCTAAGGGCAGCACCATAAATGTCAGCAAGAAAAGTCTCTGTGTACATCACATTCAAAATGGCAAGGAAGCACAGACACAGAGAAGCCAACTTATGTTTGAGTCACTGCTATTGATAAAAAGAATCCGAATGTGCTTTTAAAGGGCATTTCTCGCCCTGCACCTCTCCCATACACCTAAATACACTGGAAATGAGGAATGCTGGACATTGAACGTGGCGCCCTGCCCTTGGCCACGATCCTGTCTTTGTCCTCAGCTCTGCTTTTGTTCAAGATTTATTTTTCATTTTTTCCAAATTGTAATTCTTCATTCATTTGATGAGTCCAGGATCTCCTGGACGTGAGCACTCACTCTAAAAAGCCCCTCATAAATCATTTACACTGCCTCATCCAGTTCAACTGTCATTCATCTCCTCCCATAAATACTCCATAAGGGATTCACCCAGCATACTGCAGACCTCATTCTGGGTCTGCTAACAGTGCTTGGATAATAGTGCAACCCTTGGGCTCTCTATCTGTTTTTTTCTTTTACTCTGTGACTGGACCAGCTGCTTTTCAATCATACCTTTCCTGGATGACATATTCTCCCTTAATTCTTCTTCACATACCCTGTAGCTTTTTTATCTTCACCGTATGTTGAGCCAATGCCTTTTCGGTTACCTGCAATCCTGCTTCTTCAGAAGTTTGCTGTCATATGGTTTGTAGCCATATCTCACCTCTGGAAGGATATTGGGGTTAAAAAGGTGCCTTTTTGTTTCAGGGAGACAGAAGCCTGGTATTGCTGAAAGTGTGATGTAGATTTCTCAAATGCGATCTGACCTGCTCTCTTTCTCCTGTTCAACTCGGAGCCCAGTTCCTTATCTGCACGGTTTGTCCAGATATAGGTACTGTGAGTCCAGATTGATGGGTTGCCCAGCCAACTCCATCCATGGTCTAGGGCAGTAGAAATTCCCCACCTGCTTGGGGATCTGAGAGGTTTATCCTTTTTTTTTTTTCATGGATTGTCAGGCACACCTCTTCCAGATGCTCATGAATCTCATTTAAAAGGCTCTGTAGGGTCCTGGGGCTTTATCATTCAGCATTATATTGTTCACAAATATGAAGACCTCACCATTTTCTTCCTATTTTCTGCAGAAGGGCTTTCTCAGTCACCTCAGCTGCTAGTGTCTTTGTCTCTATCATTAGCTTTCACATCATCTGTATATATCTTGTATTATATAGTTATATACAAGTTGTCTCCTCCATTAGAATGTAAGCTCCTTGGGGGCAAGGACTGACTTTTCTTTCTTTTTTTCTTTGTGTCCCTAGCACTCTTTTTTTTTTCAGCCAAAGACAAGGTTTATTAAAGATCCACCATATTAGCCAGACTCTTAAGGAATCTGAACATCTATTGGCTAGATTGTAAAAATCTGAGCAGTGGCTAGATTATATGAATCTGAGCCCCTAGCATTCTTAATAAAGGTTTGTTGACGTATTTATTGATTCTGGCAGTGATAATTTTGGTTAATGTGTGTTTCCCTGTTTTATGCCTCACTTGATGTTAATAATAAGAAGATCATTAAATTATCTCTGTTGTTGTAGTTATCAAGGAATCCATTATAATCTTACCATGTATATAGATATGCATAAAAATATATAGTAGGTATATATAGTATATATGCAGTATATAGTAGGTATCTTCCATATATATATTGTATGTGCATGTGTATATGAGATATCTTTTGGATGAGAACCTTTAAGAATTTATTTTTCAAAATTAATAAATCATCAAACATTTATTAAGTACCTACTGTATTCCCAACACTGTGCCAGGCTCTGGCGATACATACGTAAAGAATGAAATTATCCTTTCTTTCGTTGCTCAGCAATTTTTAAAAATTGTAGTCTTTGTTTAAATAGTTCCGAGTTAAGTTGTTTCAAGTGTACATCATGTCTTTTTCTCATAATTATTCTTTCTTCTTGGTTTTTACTGATCCTGGCCTTTACCCTGATAAATCAATGCTCTAGTTATACACAGGCAGCTAACTTAAGGTTAACTCCCATACTAGTAACAAGCACTGTTCTAGCCTGTTAAAAATTAATCTGTTTTGTTCTTTGTTACTATTTGTTGCTCAAAATTCCCAGAGACTACTAACCTTTTTTTTTTGTTTTTCGGAAGAAATCATTTATGTTTTTATAAAAAAAATAAGATTTTATTGAGATATTTTTTACATTACTATAACCTCACCAGTATTCCTCTTTCTCCCTTTCCTATAGAGCCATCTAACATAACAAATTATATTTTTATTTTTGAATAATATTTTATTTTTTCCAATTACATGTAAAAACAATTTTTAACATTCATTTTTTAAAATTTTGAGTTCCAAATTCTCTCCCCTCCACCCTCCCTGAGATAATAAGCAACTTAATGTAGGTTATATGTGTGCAGTCATGCAAAACATATTTCCATATAAATAATATTTTAAGACAAAAAAAAAGAAGAGGAAAATAGTACAACTAATCAGGGCATCAAAAAATTTCTGAAAATGTGCTATGTACCATGGTCATGGCCTCCCACTTCTGCTACAGCCTGAGGACAACTGGGTTTTTCCTTCTGACCTGCAGCAAAACCATCTATGCATGCTATTTCTCCGTATTACAGGGTTCCTAATCTTTTCATGTGTCATGGACCCCTCAGACAACCTGGTAAATCCTATGGACCCTTTCTCAGAATAATATTTTAAATGCATAAATAAAATATATAGGATTATAAAGGAAACTAGTTACATTAAAATACAGAGGTAATTTTTCCCACCCAAGTTCACAGATACCCTGAAATCCTTCCCCAGGTTGAGAACCTCTGCTCTGTTAAACTGGGAGCTTCTTGAAACCCGGGACTGTTTCCACTTTTCTATTTATATCTCCAGTGGTTAGCACAGTGTTTGCACACAGAAGAGCTTAATAAATGTTTTTTATTCATTCGTTCATATGAACTGGTAGTAACTGATGTCCTCCTGATTGCCTTTTTTCCCCCAGAAATAATGAAGTCTGCAACTTTTTCCCACCATTCAATCTTTCTCCCTTTTCCTGAATTCTTAAGAATTGATCACTTGGGACTTTCAAAATCCTTTCTTTCAGCATGGAAGTCTTCCTTGTGTGACTGGTTTAATTAAGCTTTTTTTTCTGTTTTCTTTGGTGTTATTTCCACTCCTTTATAATATACATCGAGGGCTATGATGGTGAAGGCCAAATGGAGTCATTCTAATGTTACTGAAGAGGAAAAGGGTTTATTATAGAGATATTAAAAGACGCCACCCCTTTCAAAATCTATTTGTTGTCCTCTTTCCAGTTTTATCTTTAAATGCTCTTGTGATGATCTAGCTTAATTAGGTCTCCTATTAAGCCTATGATCACTTAAGTGCTCTGATTTCTTAGTATGTAGCTCTGATTCATGCTTTATGAAGATAGTCTCAATTTCTTTTGTAACTAATATGGGCCACCAGGAGTTCTCCTCCCGATCTGTTGAACGTTTTGCTAAGCATAAGTGCATATGGGACTATTGGGGATATACCATGGAATGGATGGATGAATGAAAACATATTTATTAAGCCCTTACAAGGTTCAAAGAACTGTGCTAAGCACTGGAGATACAAATAGAAAATTAAGACCCTCACTCCTCATTTGATTAATGGTCAAAGGATATAACAGGCAGTTTTCAAAGGAAAAAATCCAAGCTGCCAAAGCCTTATGAAAACATGCTCCAAATCACTGATAATTAAAGAAATTAAATATAACTAAAGATATTAAAGAAATTAAAGATAATTAAAGCAACTTGGAGGTTCTAACTCATACCTGTAAGACTGGCAAAGTTGACAAAGAGGAAAATGACAGCTGTTGGGGGATTGTGGGAAAACAAGGATATAGAGGATGTTTAGTGTGGACTGGTCTGGCCATTCTGGAAAGCAATTTGGAATCAAAGTTACTAAACTGTATATATCCTTTGTAACTAAAGTATAACTAAAATGAATAGACTTTAAAAGATTAAACCATGCATACCTTTTGAGCCACCATATAATACCACTACTAGGCTTATTCCCCAAAGAGAAAAAGTAAAAGTCTTTGTCTGTAGAAAAGTGTTTATAGTAATTCCTTTTGCAGTGGCATGAACTAAAAATGAAGGAAGTGGCCATCAACTAGAGAATGTCTGAACAAATCATGGTATATGAATGTAGTGGAATACTATTGTGCCATATGAAATTATGAAGGGGATGGTTTCAGAGAAACTTGGGAAGACTTATATGAACTGATGCAGAGTGAAGTGAGCAGAACCAGGAGAACCATTTATACAATAACAGTAACATTGTAAAGACAAAACAATTTTGAAAGACTTAAGAATTCCAATCAACGCAATGATCAATTCCCACTCCAGAGGACCAATGATAAAGCAGAAGTTATAGAATTAATAGAATAAGATATATGTTTTTGGACATGGCTAGTGTTCGAATTTGTTTTGTTTAATTATGCACGTTTATTATAAGGGTTTTGTTTTTATTTCGTTTTTCAAATAAAAAGAGCAATTTGGGGGAGGAGAGAATCAATTTTTGTCAATTGAAAAAATTGTTGAAAGAAAAGTAAGACCCTGTTGTCAAGGAGTCCCATTCTAACAAAGGGAGATGATACATATAGGAGGTTCCAGCTGCAAGTCAGATGGATAGAAAGACTCAGTGGTCCTTAGGGTGTAGCCACAAGGGGGATGGTAATGCATCTACTTTAGTTTCATTAACAACGTGCAGAATTGAGCTTGCATTCCAGTTTAGGGGGTTTTTTTTGTTTGTTTTTGGCTAGGCAATGGGGTAAGTGACTTGCCCAGGGTCACACAGCTAGTAAGTGTTATGTGTCTGAGGCCAGATTTGAACTCAGGTCCTCCTGAATCCAGGGCGGTGCTCTATCCACTGCACTGCCTAGCTACCCCAGCATTCCAGTTTCTTCTAATGAGCCTCATGTTGGACTACTTTTGGTGACACATGTGACCAGAGGTTTTTGTTTGGTCCCTTGGTCCCTATGACAAGAGTGGGAGGAGTGGTTAGGTAGATTTATGCCAAAGATAATGGCTATAAGGCCAGGAAGAGTCACCCACTCATATTGTAAGAGAATATCAACTCAGTCCCTGTGAGCCCAGAGTTGCAGTTCCTAGATAGGAAGAAGACACACTTGCCTACACCAAAGGATATTTGTTGTGATTTCACTTCAAAAAAAAAAAAAAAATGAAATGCTTTATTAAAAACTGAGTATTGAACATCAATAAAATATCTAAATTTGCTGATTAATTAATTATATTCAGCTGGATTGATTCTGGTAATTAAAGTATCATAACAACTGTTCAGCCATTACCTCTGAGTCCTCCTCAGGCTTCTTGGCTTTTCCATTATTTCTATTTCACTTTTCCTCTTGTATGGTCATAGTTACTATGCATTCCTTAAGATTCTGCTGTTTTCTCATTTCATGATTTCATAAATGTCTTTTCTTCATATTCCTTATATTTGTCAATTTTAATTGCATTACAGAAGTCCATTAATGAATGTACTACAATTTATTTAACCACTCACTTTTCTTACATTTCTAATTTCAGTAATGTGTGTTTTCTCTCCTTAAAAAAATTTCTAATGACTCGTCAATTTTGTGAGTCTTTTCTAAGAGCCACTACTTAGTTGTAGTTATTAATTCTATTATTTTTAATTTTCCATTTCTGTTTATGCCTGGATATATCTTTATTATCTCTCTTTTTTCTGCTTTCCTTTGGTCTGGCACTTTGCTTCTTTTAGTATCTTTGGGTTTAGACCATTCATTCAGTCTCTCTCCCTCTTATATTTGTCTCTGAGAACCACTTTAGTTGCATCCCACAGATTAATAATATTAACATCCTTGTTGTCTTTTAGATTATAATTTTAATTTGTTTTTAACCCAATTATTATTTAATCGATTGCTTATTAGTTTAAGATATAAGCCCAAGATGCTTATTATTCTTTACTCAGGGTATTGTTATTTGTTTCTAATTTTATTACAACATAATATATAAATATAGTATCAATAATTTTTACTACTTTGAACATACCAAGGACTTCTTTATATCAAAATGTGTTATTTGACTTGAAAAAAGTATATACTACTCTTTTTTTTTCCATTTAGCACTAAATACATAGAGGTATTGACTATAGAGAGGGAGTATGGCATAATGGATAGAGAGCCAGTCTTAAAGAAGAAATGGGTTTGAGTCCTACATCAGACTCATCATGGCTATGTGACACTGGGCAATTCATTTAATTTCTCAGTGTTCTAGATAACTTTCTAGGACTATAAGTTGTTGGGAAGATGACAATCTGCATTGGTAGAGAAAGTTTCCATACCTGGGGATTACCTATACCAATAAAATCACAGGTCTAATTCCTATCACCTATCTATATAATATACATTATTTCCAGATTTAATAAACAGTTTTTATTTAAGATCTTATTGTTATTCATCTTTTTATTAGATTTATCATGTTCTGATAATAGGAGTTTTGAAGTCCTCTACTTTTAATATTACTTTTTTTTTCTGTTTCATCATATTGTAATCACCAGATAGTGCAGGTGCATAAACCAGCCCAAACTCATTCACATCTGAGCCTAAAGCCCTGTAGAGCTTCCCTATCAACACACTCTCTTTTCTGAGGAACTCTTTCTGAGGAAAAGAAAAACATAATTGGCCTCCTAGGCTCACTCATTTGCCCCTCTGTCCTTAACAACTCAAGTCTAGTTGGAATATGTTCCCTGGATTATTTTCTCTCTCTTTTCCTGATCAACCATTCAAACAACTTAATAAATTCTCATTTTAAATGTTTGGCTACAAACTTCCAGCCAGTTTGCACTGGCAAAATCCAAACAAAGGCTACAAAACCTCAATGATTTAAAACTCTTTCTTTTCTGGGTTTCCAATCTCCCCATATGCATTTAAATATGTTGAAATGGCACAGAGTTTATACTCTCAGGTTTTAATGGAGTTAAAGACATATAAAAATAAACTTAAAGAATTAATAGTCCAGAGGGAGTGGAAGAAATTTAGAACTCAAAATCTTAAAAGAGCAAATGTTGAAAACTAAAAATAAATTAAAAAAAAAAAAAGAATTAACAGTCCTAAATGCTAGCTGCATAGTTTACTACTGGGAATAGAGGGAAAGTATGGCTTTCTTACCTCCCTTATCTGTTAGGGCAGATAAAAGTAAGGAGAAGATGAAAGGCTGAGAAGAGTGGAGTATATCTTTTCTTTTAAGAAAGTGCAGGAGGTGCCCAAATTAGTAAAACCAGTAAGCACCTACTGCTTCATTGCCGAAATGACACTATCAGTCTCTGGACCATCCCCTCATCTATATTACAATAGCCCTGGCCCTAAGGCTCCTCCCTCTTCCACAATTAGGGGAACCGCCCATCTGATGCCCATGCTAAATACTACACTTGGAAAGTTCAGCATGAGGACCCAGATTGACATCTTGCCCTGGTCTCCAGCTTTTTTCCATATTGTTGCCAACCTCCACCTGTCCTCAAGGTCAAGTCCCCAATTCCCCTCCTAATCCCAGGTTGGGGGCAACTCCATCACTGTCTCAAAACCGAGAGCATCCATAGTCCACGTTCTTTCTAGGCCTAGGAGCTCCAATTCTCATTGGCCACTAGAAGGAGCATCTTCTGGGAAAGGCACTGCATTCTATTGTTATTCGTCTTTCTTTTGTGAAATTAGCTCTGCATTATTTGGTGCTCATATATTCAAAATGGTTAAATATTCAACATTTGTTGTTCCTTTCACCATAAAACATCACTTTCTCTTCTGTTTTTTTTATTGAATTAAAATTTAATATTGTTATTGCTACATCTCTCTCTTTTTTTAAAAAAAGTTCTCATTTATAAGATATATTTTAAGTCAGTAGTTCTTAACCCAGAGTCTGTGACTTCAGGAAATCTGTGACCTTGGCTTATCAAGCTCCTCTGGGAATCTATAATCTTTAAGTTTTCTATGTGTTTTGTCTTTGAGATCAATATGTTTTGCTTATACAGAGCCCATGTTTTCTCCTCTTGTCATTTCTTCTTTGTTTTCATTGTTTTTCACGTCCATGTATTTGCATCCCTAATTAGTCACCTTTTTTTTTCTTTGGTGAGACTTGCCCCTGAGGATTCAAATTTTTTATTTTGCCAACTATTTCTGCTGGGTAAGCCATCAATTTCACACACGCACACACACCACACACACACACACACACACACACACACACGCACACACCCCCGTTATTATTTCTCTTTTAAACCATTCAGGAACATTCTGCTGTCATCCCATACTCCCCTCAGGATACTCCACAAGGTCCTCTGCCTCCTCAGATGTTGGTTCATTTCCCTTTGTCTTACAGAATTTATTCATAGATGCCTGAACTCTTTTACCTGATCTGGAGGTCATTTTCTCTTCTGGTATTAATATCCTCTCTGTTGGTTTAATTGTTTATGTTCAATTCCCTTTTCTTCCTCCTGAGATATTTGGTCATTTCAGTCTTTTTTTCCCTCTATTTTCCCTTATTGCTCACTTTCTGATTTGCTTCCCTTTGATGGCAATTTCCCCCGAGGGTTGGATCTCAAGTTTAGCCTTTTCTCAAGCTGGGCAATTCAAGGTTCACAAGCCTTGGGCTCTGCCCCAAGCAACTTCTAGGGGTAGGGCTGAGCAAACTTGGGCCGTTTGGATCTCTAAGGCGCTGAGAGGAGGTGGGGGGAAGGGTGAATACAGTTGAGTTCTGTTGCAGCTCGGGGTTAGGCAGGGAGTGTGGTGGACGGTGGAGGAGGGGGTGTTGGGTTAGTACATTAGGGCTTTAACCATCTCTGTTGTTAATTCACTGAATTTTTACCTTGTTTAGGTTCCTTGTGTTCTAGACTATGGAGACAGATGAAATTGCTTTCTTTATCTCTTGTGCATAATTCCTATTTTGGAGAGGGCTGAGAGCTCATTAGGACCAGAGAAAATGCCTAGTCCTCCATCTTGTTGGTCATGTGACCTGGAAGTCAGGTCCCTGCACTTGGATGGGAAGAAATGACATTTTTCTTTTCACTACCCTTTGATTCCCTTTATAATCCTATGTATTTAGTTTTATGCATTTTATAAACCCAGTTCTGAGAAGGGGGCAGTAATCTTCACCAAACTGCCAAAGGGGTCTATGACGCAAGCAAGGTTAAGAATCCCAACCTCTCCATTTTAAGTCATCCATCTCATTTGGCACTAAATGTATATTCTCCGCTAAAGTCCTGCTCTGTTGCCTCATTATGGAATACGGAAGATCTTGAGTTCTCCAAGGCTAAGCCAGCAGAGAAGAATCTGGAAAGACTCTGAATATGAGCCTGTGGATAAAGTAGAATCCACAGAACATCCTAACAGGTTTGGGGGGCTCATCCCCACCAGCAGGGAGACAAGTGGTTTTTAACCACAGCAACTTCTAAAACATCAACTGAACCATGGGTGACTTGTGATCTACTTTGTTAGGAGGGTGGGGGGATTGGAGCACCCCTGGTCATGAAATCACAGGTCTTTTGAAATATTGAAGTGTTTCACATTAATGAATTTTTTTAATTGTAAAGTTGTTTCTCAGACAATGTGAGATAGTGGAAAGAAGGGAGGGCTTGGAATTAAACCTTTGAAAGCTGAGAGATGCAAATTTTCTCATCGGTAAAATGGAGTTAACGCTACTTTGCAATCCTACCTGCCAGGACTGTTGGGAGGGATCAAATGGGATCACTTATGTAAAGCTTTTTAAAAGGTGAAAGTGTTTTCTGATTCTGAGCTTTTCTTTCATTATCTCTTTTTTCTCTCGCCTGTTTTGTTTTTTAAATATAATACGAGGACCTTGGAACTTGCTAGGACCCCAGAGGGCATCAATCAGTCAACCAACGTTTATTAAACACCTACACTGTGCTAAGAGCAGGTATTCTTTCTTCAGCATCCCAAGCGGGCATCCAGGCTTTGCTTAAAGAACTCCTAAGTCTTCCTTTAATGTGTATTTTTTTCATCCAGCTTGCTTAATGGGTTTATTATCCTTTAATGCCTTCATCTATTTCATTTCTGTATGCCTACCACACTGCTGTATCTTGTCTGGTGTTGCTTTAGCTCACAAATCTGTAATTTCTCCTTCATTCTCTCCTATTTTCCCTAAATAGCAAAATGCCTGTCAAATGGTGGAAGCTTATGTGTAACGATTTTTTTTTTGGTTTTCTCTTTGTTATTATTTCTACGGATTTTTTTTTTGAGATGTCCCTGGATTTATTATTATTGTCATCGATAATTAATTTTTAGCTGATATTGTGATTTCAGTAGTATAGGGCATCCCAGACAAAGAACAAGTAACCTACAGAAGGATGCTTGGGACACTGAGTGTTCTCGGGAGCACACAACCAGAATCCTTGTCAGAGCTGAGATTTAAATCCAGCTTGATCTTCCTTACCCCAAGACCAGCTCTCTCTGCACTATCCAATCTGCATCTCAGAATTAATTATTGGCATATAACAGCAATAGAGACAGTAACAGGCATATTAGCAATACTAATAACAATAATAGTTATAGTAACAGTAATAGATACTTAAGCAATACTAATAAAATGAAAATAGCTACAGTAATAGTAATAGATATTAGCAGTACTACTACTAATAATAATAGTTATGGAGATATATTAGTAATACTAATAACAATAACACTATACTATAGTTTGTACTATATATGTTACATATAGTATATAATACTATAGTAATAGTAATAGATATATTAGCAGCAGTACTATTAATAATAATAACTATAGTAACAGTGATAGACATATTACCAATACTAATAAAATGAAAAGAGCTACAGTAATAGTAACAGATATTAGCAATACTAATAACAATAATAGCTCTGGTAACAGTAATTGATATTTAAGTAATACTAATAAAATGAAAATAGCTACAGTAATAGTAATAGATATTAGCAATACTGATAACAATAATAGCTATGGAGACATATTAGTAATACTAATAACAATAACACTATACTATAGTTTATACTATATATGTTACATATAGTATATACTATAGTACATAATACTATAGTAACAGTAATGGACATATTAGCAATACTACTATTAATTAATAATAGCTATAGTAATAGTGATAGACACATTAGCAATACTAACAGTAATAGCTATAATAACAGTAGTATATTAGCTATATTAATAATAGCTGTAATAACATAATAGATTAGTAATACTAATAACAATAACTGGCCTTTACCTCCTACCAATTTCCCATTTCTTTAGCACTTTAAGATTTACAAAGCACTGTCCTCACACCACCCTGTGAAATAATATAGGGATGATTATTCCCATTTTGCAGATGAGGAAGGGGAAACTCAAGCTTGTCCAGGGGAATAACCCCACTAGTAAGTTGATCCCTACTCTTGCCGCAGCCGAGGAGGCAGTTTCAGGGGGTCCATCTGGTGTAGAATTTAGGAAATGAGTGAAGCTTTGGCAGTGATTGTGAGGGACTGGAGGTCCTTTTTCTCCTCAGGTTTGGCCATGGGCATAGCTGACCCTGGGGGCTACTGTCTCACCAAGTCTGTGGGATATCCCCCTACAGCCTCCCTGCTGTCCTTCTTCGCATGGTCTGAGAGGGTACAGGAGGTTCCAGCTCGTTTTGCTCCTTATTCTGTACTTCAGCCCGCAGGAGGTCCCTGGTAGCCTATCCTTACCTGCCGGTAGCACCCGACAGGCTGTCCTTGTTCTAGATCTGCCAAGCCAGGGGTAACAGTGATTCTCTGGCATCCCTTTGGTTATTGTCAGATGTGGTAGTCTGGTGGCTCTTGTTTTTGTGGGGGGTTGGAGAGGTGGGGATGGCTTCTGATCTCTAACCCTTATACACACTACGTTTGTCCAACCATCACCCTAGGGAAGAGTGGGGAGACACAATACAGTACGATGACAAGAACGCTGAATTTGGAGTGGTAGGATCTGAGTTCAAATCTCAGCTTTACTCGTATGACTTCTCTTTTTTCAGCCTCAGTGTACTTATCTGTAAAACGAGGGGGTTGGATGTGATGACCTGTAAAATCTATGACCCTCTGAGGATCCCAGCAGATCATGAACCACTTAATCTTGCATATTTCCTGACCCCTTCATTTTTACAGAGGAGGAAACTGAGGCCTGGAGAGCTTGCCCTGGTCACTCATTCATAGTGGCACACTCAGGACTCCCATGCCAGGGCTATTTCTGCCACACCATGTACAGAGAAGAACATTTAATTTCCCTGCATTTCTCCAGGTCATCTAGTTGCTGAAGACAGACAGAATGTGCCCTGGGCTGAGCTCCTCACCCTGTTCTTTGCTCTTCCATCGGATCCATCAGGGTCTTCCTTTCTTTTTAAAGGAAGAAGCACATGCACCTGCTTTAAGTCATGCTGGCAGAATGATGCTCTGTAATCATTAATTCATATTGCTCTCTGTTCCCCACCCCATTCTGAATCAAGGCCTCAGGCTGAGAAGGGAGCCCATTTGCATAATATTTTGAATGTCAGTAAACACATCTGTCAATTCTTAAAGCGTAACAAAATGCAGTCATACTGCGCACTGGAGGAGATTTCCAACCATATGGCTTGGGAGTCCCACTGTGAAATCTGATTACCACATTAAGCTAATTGGCTTGAAAGAATGGAGAATAATTAGGGAGGGGGGAATGAATTTGTACTCTCCCAGGAAAGCATACTATTATGAAAGTATTCTTTCCCCTCTCCCCATTTCTCTTCTCTCCTGCTCCCTACTGTGAGCTAAGTCACCTGTGAATTCTTTCTTCTTTTTTTCCCCCACATTTAACAGCCTTTAATTTGGAAGAGATCAATAGAAGCCATTCTTTAGGATTTGGTCTTGTGTTAAAAGGAAGGATGAAATTACTTGTTTTTTGTAACTTTAAAAATTGTGAGGTGTAGGGAAAAGTCTTATACAGGGCTATTACAGAATCTTAGCTGATCCACTCTCCTTCCTTTACCAACATTTCTGAAACCATTCCTTAATCTTCATACATGTGCTTGCAGAAAATTTACAGTTTTGCTTCAACTGTGTGACTTATAGTCATATAAGACTTATCCTCATTGCTGTAGTAGGTGTAATGCAGAGCAAAACAATGATTATTTCCATAGCCACGACTTCTTTTTTCTTTTAATTTTAAACTTAAATACAAAAGAAATATCATAAACTTAAATACAAAACAAGAAAAGAAAACAAAGCATTGCTATGTGCATAGCAGAACATAGGAGAGGATTCAAAATACACAATAAATTTCTATTTCAAGAAAGCCTATGAAATAAATACTATGTTATGTTATGAGCTCTCCATCTTTTCTTTGCTTCCTTGTAAGTTTTCTTTGTTCTCTGCTGTGTACTTTTTATTTTGTTCTTTTTTTTTTTTGCCCCTTCCTTCTTTCCTCCTCCAAGAAGGCTACCATTAAGTGTGGATACATATATATAGGTATACATACACACACACACACACACACATATATATACACAAACATTTATACATATGTATGCATGCATACACTTCCATGCACATATGTATATATACTTGGATATCTATATCATGTAATTAGATCTCTATAATCATACTCTTACATAGATGTATACATTTATATGGATCTATGTAAGACCATACTATACTTCCTTGTTCTCTGTTTCTCT